GCCATAGAACTAACCTCTGACCTCGAGGTGCTTCCAATTAACTGAGGAATGAAAAAAAGTTATGAATAAGAGGGAAAAATACTGCAAACTCAGTCCAGATAAAGTGTGAAGTAAAGAAACACTGCCCAAACATTTCCATTACAAAGTTGAGCTGGGCATATCTGGGTTGAATTCATACTTGTTACAGACTCCAACAAAAACCTGTTAGAAAGGGTAAACCATTATCTGACAAACTTCAGAGCGGTTTCTAGATCTCCATAGATTCTGGCCTGACTCCTAATGTCTATTCTGTCTCTATTCCAGAATGAGAACAGTTTGTATTGCTGTATTCACTGCTTCACATGTTCAGCACCTAAAACCAGTAAACTGCAGTAGTCACCCCCTTATTTGTGATTTCATTCTGAGGCTAACTTGTGGTCAACCACAATCTGAAAATATTAAGTGGAAAATTCCAGAAATAAACAATTCATAAGTTTTACATTGCAGGCTGTTCTGAATGACGTGATGATATCTCCTGCTGTCCATTCTGCCTGGGATGTCAATCATCTCTTTGTCTAGTGTATTCATACTGTATACACTACCTGTCCATTATTCACTGAGTCACTGTCTCTGCTATCAGATCAACTGTTTTGATATCTCAATCTTGGGTTCAAGTAGCCCTTATTTCACCTAATAATGGCCAAAAAGAACAAAAGTAGTAATGACATCAATTCAGATGTGCCAGAGAGAAACTGTAAAGTGCTTCCTTTAAGTAAAAAGGTGAAAGTACAATATTTTTAGAAACCACATTAATGTAGAGTCGTCCTATCAATCCCCAAAATTCCCTCATACTGTGCATTATACACCCCTATTCTGGAGAAACTACTGATATGTTCTTAGTCTCTATTGGTTTGCCTTTTTTAGAATGTCATATAAGTGGCATATACCACGTAAGCTTTTGATACTGGCTTCTTCACAGTGTATAATGTTGAAATTCATCCATGTTGCATGTCCTAGGAATGAGATTGCTGGGTCTTATGATATGGATATATTCAGCCTCATAAACTACTGACCTGTTTTTCAGACTTCGCATGAACATGTATGAAAACAACACAGTGAATCCCTCGATCGGGTACATCCATAAGAATGGGATCCTAACTAGAATAAGATATAGTTGTATAATTATATCAAAATGGATTCTGGTGTCATGTATAACTAAAAAGAACCAATATAATCCAATTAGCAATGTAGTTCTAGCAGTTTTTGTTTTGTTTTGTTTGTTTGTTTTTGGTAAACTTCTTGGAGTTTTCTATAAGTCAAGTTGTTTGCAAAGAGACAATTTCATTAGACCTTTCAAGCCTTTTATTTCTTTTTCTTGCTTTATGCCAATGGATACAAATTTGAATACAATGCTGAATAGGAATGCAGAAGGTTGACACCCTTGTCCCATTTCCAGTCTTAAAAGGAGAGTACTCAGTCTTTCTTCATTAAGTTTGATGGTTAGCTGCAGATATTCACAGATGTTCTTTACCAGGCCCAGAAATCTGCCTTCTTTTCATATGTTGTTAAGAGATTTTTATCATCAATATATGTGAATTTGGTCA